CTTTCAGGGCCCCTGAGCGCCCTGCCCGCCCCTCCTGCCCACCAGGGCTCTGTCTTGGCTCCCTGAGGGCCGGACAGACGGCGAGGCCCGGCCGCCTACCTTCTCCTGGGCCCTGCTGAACTTCTTCTGCACCTGCTTGGCGAAGAGGCCGGCCGCGCCGCCCGCCTTGCCCTCTGCCATCCTGCCGGCTCCCCGGGGGCCGCCGCCTGGCCCCACGCCCTGTGGTTTTCTGAGGCCCCCGAAGAGGAAGTGCGGGCTCCCGTCATGCCTCGCATCCGGCCCCGGCCCTGCGCCGCACCAGGCCCTGCGCCACCCCTGACCGCCCCCCTGCCAGCCCGGAGGCCCGCCCTGCGGCCTAACACGGTCCGCTCGAGGGAGGGCGGCCCCGGGCAGCCCGGCTTGGAGGGGCGGGACGGGGCTTGCCCTCAGGCGGCGCTCGCTCGAGGCCAGCATCGGATCTCCAGCCCTGGCCCGGAACCTCGGCCCCACTGAACCGGGTCTTCCGCAGTGGGCCAAGACTCCTTCGCTCCGGAAAGCCAGTTCCCACCACCGTGAGCACTGGAAAGTAACCGCAACCGCAGGGTGGAAAATGGTGTGCGTTCCACTCAGTGATAGGACTACAGTATCGAAAACGCGTTTAGGTTCTGTGGATATGCATGCGAGGCCGCCATTAAACTGCGTTTCTTGCTCCAGGTTGCAGTGTAGGCTTTAAGCCTGGAACTGATAGGGATAGAGTGCAGAAAAAGGGCAGGACCGCCCCTGCAGCTTTGAAAGTGAGGAACAGGTCGGGCATGGTGTAATCCCAGCACTTTGGGAGGCCCAGGTGGGTGAATCGCTTGAGGTCAGGAGTTCGAGACCAGCCTGACCAATAGTGTGAAACCATGTCTTTACTGAAAATACAAAAATTACCCGGGCATGGTGGTGGGCACCTGTAGTCCCGGCTACTCAGGAGGCTGAGGCAAGAGAATTGCTTGAATCCTGAGACTGAGGTTGCAGTGAGCCAAGATCAAGCCACTGCACTCCAGCCTGGGTGACAGAGTGACACTCCATCTCAAAAAAAAAAAAAAAAAACTGAGCTGGAGATAGAAACGGGGTGAGGGGGCTGGTTCCTAGGCCAGGGAATGATCGCATTGAAAAAAGGCTGAGGAGGAGAGTATGAACGCCCATGCTGGGGATAGGGAGCAGGTTTTTCTAGTTGGAGTACAGTGTAGTGGATGGAGGCAGAATGTGAACGCAGACACAGATTGTGCAAAGTGGGGTGGGGCTGTTGAGATGACAACTATTGTTTCTCTAGGGAAAAGTTCTCCAAAAAATTCCTCCCTGACCTGTTGGAGGGGATAGCTGGAGATTAGGATGCCAGGCTTGGAGGAACCATGTACTCAGATTTTACAGGGCAGGTAAAATTTCCTCAAGGAACGGAAGAATGTCAAAATAACACTTCTTAAGGAGTGGAGGAGGAAGATAGGAGACTGACACAAAATCAGAGGCCCTTGTATGCTATTGTGTTCCTGTTCTTTCCCCAAAACAGTCATTACTGCACTCAAGGTCAACTGTGTGGCAGACATGGCTGGGTGCTCTGAAACTACAGATGAATAAAATGCAGTCCCTGACCTTAAGATGCTTAAAGTCAGGTCGGTGCAGTGGTTTACACCTATAATCATAGCACTTTGGGAGGCCAAGGCAGGTGGATTGCCTGAGCTCAGGAGTTCGAGACCAGCCTGGGTAAAACAGTGAAACCCCATCTCTACTAAAATACAAAACATTAGCCAGACATGGCCATGTGCACCTGTAGTCACAGCTACTTGGGAGGCTGAGGCAGGAGAATTGCTTGAACCCAGGAGGCGGAGGTTGCAGTGAGCCAAGATTGCACCACTGCACTCCAACCTGGGCACAGAGCGAGACTCCTTCTCAAAAAAAAAAAAAAAAAAAAGATGCTTAAAGTCTGGCCAGGTGCCATGGCTCATGCCTGTAATCCCAACAGTTTAGGAGGCCAAGGAAGGTGGATTGCTTGAGCCCAGCAGTTTGAGACTAGCCTGGGCAACATAGCAAGACCTTGTCTCTGCTAAAAATACAAAAATTCACTGGGCATGGTGGCAAACACCTGTAGTCCAGCTACAAGGGAGGCCAAGGTGGGAGGATTATCTGAGCCAGGGGTGATAGAGGCTGCAGTGAGCCCTGATGGTGCCGCTGCATTCCAGCCTGGGCAAAGAGTGAGACCCTCTCTCAATAAATAAGGAATAAATATTAACAAATAAGTATATAAATAAAGATGCTTAAAGTCTGGAGGTGGTGATGGGGGTAATCAGGTGATTATAATATATTGTGATTAATTCATTTGTAGAGATGGATACAACATTTTCTGGCAATAGGTGATTAGGGTTTATTTGTTTGTTTGTAGGCAGGGTCTTGCTTTGTTGCCCAGGCTGGAGTGTAGCAGTGCCATCAGGGCTCACTGCAGCCTCTACCTCCCAGGCCCAAGTGCTCCTCTCACCTGAGCCTTCCAAGTAGCTGGGACTAAGGTGTGTGCATACCACTCCTGGCTACCCAGACTAATCTGGAAGTCTTGAGCTCAGGCAATCCACCTGCCTCAGCCTCCCAAAGTGCTGGGAGTATAGGTATGAACCATCATGCCCAGCCCGGTGATTAGGGTTTATTCTGGATTTAGCTTTGGCGATGTCCTGGAAGAGACAGGGTGACAAAAATGGAAGGGCTTGAAATTGCATGGGGAGGACTGGGGAGAAGCACGGAGAATAGCAATACTGCAGGAACACTGAGGGTAGATGGCAATGCTAACAGGTATGTCACTAGCAGAAGGAGACCAATACCTGTGTCCCTCCCAGGACTACATGGCATCCACAGCAATGCAACCCAGCCACTGGCTCCTAAGAAACTCTGTTTAGTTCCAGTATCTTGCAAACTGAAATTGATGGTCACCAAATCATATAGTGTTAGAGAAGAAACAACCTTAGAAGTTAATTAGATAGCAAAGTTGAGTCACTGAAAGGGCTGACGACTTGCCTAAAGTCACCCAGCTCCTCAGTGGTGGAACTGGGATGGGAACAGACTCAACCTCTTACAGCACATGCAGTGTTCTAGAGGCCTCTGCTGAGCCTGCCAACTCCAGGGTCTGTCTCAGCCAGTTTCTCCTTCTGTAATGTTTAATACCCTAGTCCCTCCTGTCTGGTCTTCAGTGATTGACATGAAAAGCTGATTCTCATCCTTTTTAGCCTTCCCCTTTCAGTTCCCCCTTTGCCTTCTCATAGGCCATGCTAACAGACTCAGCCTTGGCCAGGATACAGCAGAATTATCAGTTTCCCAGTTCTCTGTAGTTTATAGAACCCTGGATCCGGTTGCCTATTTTAGTCCCAGCCTTGAAGTGCTGATTCACACTTAGCTTGAGGCCCTATGTTGCTGTCGCCTCTTCCTTTCTGTTCTGTCTCTTCCCCTCAACCCTTTCTTTTCTTTGTTTAGTATCTTCTCTTCTCTCCTTTTTTCTATTCTTAGTTCTCCAGTCTCTTTTTTTTTGAGACAGGGTCTCATTCTGTTGCCCAGACTGGAATGCAGTGGCGCAATCTTGGCTCACTGCAGCCTTGACTTCCCAGGCCCAAGCAATTCTCTCGTTTCCTTTCAAATTCGTCACTTTCTTGTTTTCTTTTTCTTTCTTTCTTTTTCTTTTTCTTTTCTTTTCTTTTTTTTTTTTTAAGGCAGAGTCTTACTCTGTCTCTAGGCTGGAGTGCAGTGGCACGATCTCAGCTCACTGCAACCTCCTCCCCAGTTCAAGCGATTCTCCTGCCTCAGCCTCCCAAGTAGCTGGGACTACACCACCACGCCCAGCTAATTTCTGTATTTTTAGTAGAGATGGGGTTTCACCATGTTGGCAAGATGGTCTTGATCTCTTCACCTCATGATCCGCCTGCCTCAGCCTCCCAAAGTGCTGGGATTACAGGTGTGAGCCACTGCGCCCAGCCTCTAATTTCACTTTCTTAGTCTGCTGGTATCTGTCCTGGCTCTGAATCTTATACTTCTATCTCTGGTGTATACTAGTAGTTGCCATCACCCAGAAACTTGGGGTGGGCACTCATTTTAGGCATTGAAAGGGGAAACAAAAGAAGGATGAACCCACAGTCTACCTGGGAAACTTGGGGCATATTCAGTCACTCGGGAACTTTTTTTTTTTTGAGACAGAGTCTTGCTCAGGCTAGAGTGCAGTGGTACGATCTCAGCTCACTGCAACTTCTTCCTCCCGGGTTCAAGTGATTTTCCTGCCTCAGCCTGGGATTATAGGTGCCTGCCACTGCGCCCAGCTAATTTTTGTATTTTTAGTAGAGACAGGGTTTCACCATCTTGGCCAGGTTGGTCTCAAACTCCTGACCTCATGATCCACATGCCTCGGCCTCCCAAAGTGCTGGGATTACAGGCATAAGCCACTGGGCTGGCCCATTCAGGAACTTTTTAAAGTACTCTGTGCCTTTGAATATAGAAAATATGCACAAGAATAGGGCAAATGGGCAGATTAGTGGATAGGCAGATCCTAAAGTAACCCAAAATGGGTAATGTAAAGCTACTCCCACTGGGCTTGGGTTGTGGACTGGTAAAGGTAGCAGTGAAGGGAAGGACCAGCACACAGATGTGGTGAAATCCAGTTTGGATCCTATAACTGCATTTCTTCTAATTCAGTGGTCCCCAATATTTTTGGCACCAGGGACCGGTTTTGTGGAAGATGATTTTCCACAAACCAGGGTGGGAGATGGTTTCGAGATGATTCAAGTGCGTTACATTTATTATGTACTTTATTTCTATTATTATTACATTGTAATATATAGTGAAATAATTATACCACTCACCATAGTGTAGAATCAGTGGGAGCCTTGAGCTGGTTTTCCTACAACTAGATGGTCCTATCTGGGGGTGATGGGAGACCGTGACAAATCATCAGGCATGGGGACCTCTGCTCTAGAGGGCTTAATTATAAATAGAAAGACACAGTATAGGAATGTGTATCTTGTTTTATTTTCTTTTAGAATGTTTTTTACTTGTTGATCACAAGTCCTGTTGCAGATCTAAGAACCATTTTGGGAAGGTCATTGGACTCAGGAAATTGTTCAGTTGGAGGCAATGACCTGAAGGAAACACAGTTAATGTCCACAGTTAGTAACTCCTGCCTACATCCTTTCTTGTCTCCCCAGGGCTCCCAGTGAAGTATGGTTTTGTACTGGGTTTATGGGAAGTTGAGATGTCGGGGACAGGGAGGAAGGAAGTCAACCTCAACTGTGATAGGACAGCTCAGTGTTACAGGTACATACCCAGAACACAGTGGCAAGGACAGACCTTGAAATGGCCATGAGCCATGATTAATGCACAAGGCTCCAGAATGTGTTTGAAGGGTGGAGGACACAGTGAAATGTACTGTGTGGCCTTTCCACCAGGTCAGTGTAGGCAGAGTCTCACCTAACTCTCAAGTATTAAAGTGGTAAAATCACTTTCAAAAATTAGAGCAGGCCAGGGACAGTGGCTCATGCCTGTAATCCCAGCACTTTGGGTGGTGGGTGGATCACCTGAGGTCAGGAGTTTGAGAACAGCCTAACCAACATGGTGAAACCTCATCTTTACTAAAAAATAAAAAATAAATAAATTAGCTGGGTGTGGTGTTGCATGCCTACAATCCCAGCTACTTGGGAGGCTGAGGCAGGAGAATCACTTGAACCCAGGACACAGAGGCTGCAGTGAACCGAGATTACTCCACTGTACTCCAGCCTGAGTGACAGAGTGAGACTCTGTCTCAAAAAAAAAAAAAAAAAAGTTAGAGCAAATTCTCATAGTGTCCTTAGAAAGACCTTGTGGGAGAGGAGGTTGGTGCCTCCTTCCCTTGCCCAGGAGCACGCAGGCCTTTCTGAACCTGATTTCCCTGGGCTTTGACTTAGGAAGGCACTGATATGTCCCTGGTTCAGATTTGATGTTGCCATTGTCTTACCCTAAGCAGTAAACAATACAGTGACAACTGCTCTGTGGATATATGGAAGGGAGGGAATTCAGATGGCAGCGTTATTGAGGGAAGGTACACTACGGAAGGAAGGGAAGGGAGTAAACACACAAATATGATAAGGAAGATGATGGCTTGCCCAGTTACTTTTGTTCCCCAACCCAGCCAGTGTGTGGGTCTCCAGGTGACCCCATTTCAAACCATCATTTGAGAGGACTCACATTATTTATCCAGGAGATGTAAGCAGAGACCCGGGTGAAGACTGTAGGCTTCCTTGAGACATTACAGCCCTGGCTAGATACAAAGCTGGTCACTCCGTGGACAGAATACCTGCCATTTACCAAGCAATGCAGAGGGCCTCCAGAATCACCCTGCAGGGAGGAGAAGCAGAGTCCTAAAACTCCAGATCTTTGGGCTTTTGCTCACACTCCGCCCACCCCCCATCTCTGCTTGTGAAATTCTGTACAGTTTTAAAGCTCCCATGCAAATCTCCACTTCCTTCATGTCCCCACAATCAAAATGAATCTCTTCTTCCTTTCTAAACAACCACAGTACTTCTTCTCTTTTGCTGCACTTATTTCATGTTCTGCCTTGTATTTTGGTTTCATAATTTGTTTCTACCTCCCACGCATGTCTATGGACTTCCTGAGACAGAAACTCCTACTAAGATCTTTCCTCGCCACACTAGCATAGAACTTTAAACATCTAAAGTTCAATCGCTTTTATTGGCTTAAATTGAATGTAGACTGGCAAAAATAGGGCATTCTAATAATTTCTTTATACCCAGCATTTAGACCATCTAATAATTTCTTTATCCCCAGCATTTAGACCAATGGGTATAATTAGACCAAGTATTTAGACTTGGTAGTCAACACACGCTAAACTAAACTGGAATGTAAAGTGATGTACTAGGCTATGTGCTCAATCAGGGCAACCTGGATGTATGGAATATGATCTTGCCTCCCTTCTTACTCAGCTTCCAGAATGCCAGGTCCATAATGCCACACATAAAATGGGAAAATACTTCTCTGGAAAATCTGAACAGCCAAGAGGAAAGACCTAAAGACACTGACATTGGAGGTCCTCCACTAAAATGGCCTAGCCAGATCACCTGACAGAGAATCCACTGTTGATGAACCCCACTGAAGGCTCAGAGCTACCAACCAGCCCACCCACTCTGGGTAAAAATACCACCCCCACTGTGAAATAAAAGCAGATGGTTAAGGATCACCAAACATCTAAAGAATGCCTCTAATATAAAAATAAAGATTGAAACAAAGAGACAAGGAGCTAAATAAAAAATGAAGGCAACTGGCTGGGCGTGGTGGCTCACATCTGTAATCCCGAGCACTTTGGGAGGCCAAAGCGGGCGGATCATGAGGTCAAGAGATCGAGACCATCTGGCCAACATGGTGAAACCCCGTCTCTACTCAAAATACAAAAATTAGCTGGGTGTGGTAGCATATACCTGTAGTCCTAGCTACTTGGGAGGCTGAGGCAGGAGAATTGCTTGAACCCGGGAGGCAGAGGTTGCAGTGAGCCGACATTGCGCCACTGCACTCCAGCTTGGTGACGGAGTGAGACTCCATCACACACACACACACACACACACACACACACACACACACACAGACAGCCAAGACTATGCAGGGAGAAGAAAACAAGCAATAAAACCAGGACTAATATAATAGGCCAGGAGTGGTGGCTCACGCCTGTAATCTCAGCACTTTGGGAGGCCAAGGTGGGTAGATCACCTGAGGTCAGGAGTTCAAGACTAGCCTGGCCAACATGGTGAAACCCCGTCTCTACTAAAAATACAAAAACTAGCTGGGCTTGTGGCACATGCCTGTAATCCCAGCTACTTGGGAGGCTGAGGTAGAATCACTTGAACCCAGGATCTGGAGGTTGCAATGAGCTGAGATCGCACCACTGTACTCTAGCCTGGACAACAGAGCGATACTCCATCTCAAAAACAAACAAACAAAAAAACCATGACTAATATGCATCCATGATACAAGAACAACATGCTACTAAATAGATCGTTCAGAAAGCAAAACGAGCCTTTGGAAATTATAAATCTGATAGATTTAGAAATGAGAGACTGGAAGAGTTGGAACATAACAAAATATAGAGACAAGAAGAGGACCACATTAGGAGGTAAACATGTGAATAACAAATTCTAGAAAGAGAAAAGTAAAAATGGCGTGGGAGGAGATCACAAATAAACAACATTTTCTGAATCAAACATCTGGAGTTTCCAGGAAAACCCACCTATTAAGTGTCCTTCACAATCAATGCAAATAGATCCATACAGACTACTAGGTCAAGAGAAGATGATACAGGTCACTTAACCAATTAGTGGAGAGTGTGTAAGGTTGAATTAATGAAAAAATGACTATATTAAGCAAATGAAAAAGACAATTATTAACATGGAAAATTTAAAAAGTAGTGCAGCAAGGGCTGACCATGGTGGTTTATGACCACAATCCCAGCACTTCGGGAGTATAAGGGAGAAGGATTGCTGAAGTTAAAGCCAGGAGTTTGGAGACCAGCCTGGGCTACAAAGCAAGACCCCTATCTCTATAAAAAAAATCAGCTGAGTGTGGTGGCATGTGCCTGTATTCCTGGCTACTCAGGAGACTGAGGTGGGAGGACTGTTTGAGCCCAGGAATTCAAGGCTGAAGTGAGCTGTGATTGTGCTAATGCATTCCAGCCTGGGTGACAGAGTAAGAACATATCTCTTAAAAACAAACAAACAAAAACAGTTATGCAGCAAATGAAAAGTAAACCTAGAATATATTATATTATTATAGAAAAGTAAACCTAGAATATATTATATATTATATTACATGATTCAGTTGTAAATAGCATTTTATATAATCATAGTGAATACTGAATATTGATCTAACCAAAATATTTTGAGAGGTTGAAATGGTGACCAGAAAATGTCATGCTTGGGAGACAGGTATGTGTATCTAAAAAAGAAAGAGATTCACATCTGCCATAATGTCTGAACTGAAAAATAGCAATGTAAGTATGTAATTTTAAAGATATAGAGGTAGACACCAAAAGAATTAGCTGAAGAGTTGAAAGTGGCCTCCTGTAGGGTGGGAGAACTAGAGTAGCTATTCTTTTCCATTATTGAGACCCATAATCTTATTTGCCAATTTAAACTTCAATAAAAAGTAAGACTTGGGGCCAGGTGTTGTGGCTTACACCTGTAATCCCAGCACTTTGGGAAGCTGAGGTGGGCAGATCACGTGAGGCCAGAAGTTTGAGACTAGCCTGGCCAACATAGGGAAACCCTGACTCTACTAAAAATATAAAATAAAATTAGCCAAGTATGGTGGCACATGCTTGTCATCCCAGCTACTCAGGAGGCTGAGGCACAAGAATTGTTTGAACCCAGGAGGAGGTTGCAGTGAGCTGGGATTGCACCACTACACTCCAGCCTGGGTGACAGAGCAAGACTGTCTCAAAAACAAGCAACCAACCAAACAAAAACAAACAAACGTAAAACTTAAAAAAGAATTAGGGAAAGAGACCAAAATTTCAAATTGGGATAATTGTGTGTGTGTGTGTTTGTGTGTTTTGTTTTGAGACGGAATCTCGTTCGGTTGCTCAGGCTGGAGTGCAGTAGTGTCATCTTCGCTCACTGCAACCTCCGCCTCCCAGGTTCAAGTAATTCTCCTGCCTCAGCCTCCTGAGTAGCTGGGACTAGTGCCCACACACTTTGATAATTTTTTTTTTTTTGAGACGGAATTTTGCTCTTATTGCCCAGGCTGGAGTATAATGGCATGATCTCGGCTCAATGCAACCGCCGCCTCTCAGGTTCAAGCAATTCTCCTGCCTCAGTCTCCCAAGTAGCTGGGATTACAGGTTTGTGCCACCATGCCTAGATAATTTTGTATTTTTAGTAGAGATGGGGTTTCTCCATGTCAGTCAGGCTAGTCTTGAATTCCTGACCTCAGGTGATCCACCGCCTCAGCCTCCCAAAGTGCTGGGATTATAGGCATGAGTCACCGAACCCAGCTGTTTTTTGTTGTTGGGTTTTTTTTTTTTTTGAGACAGAGTCTTGCTCTTGTTGCCCATGCTGGAGAGCAATGGCCTGATCTTGGCTCACTACAACCTCTGCCTCCTGGGTTCAAGCAGTTGTCCTGCCTCAGCCTCCCAAGTAGCTGGGATGACAGGCATGAGCCACCTTGCCTGGCAGCTAATTTTGTACTTTTAGTAGAGACAAGAGTTCTCCATGTTGGTCAGGCTGGTCTCAAACTCCCAACCTCAGGTGATCTGCCCGCTTCAGCCTCTCAAAGTACTGGAGTTGCAGGCGTGAGCCACTGCCTTGTTTGTTTTTTCAAAGACAGAGACTGCCCAGGCTGGAGTGCAGTGGTATGACCATAGCTCACTGCAGTCTCAATCTCCTGTGCTCAAGCAATCCTCCCACTTCAGTATCCCAAGTAGCTGGGACCACAGTGTGCACCACCTCGCCTGACTAATTTTTTAAATTGTTGCAGAGACAGGGTCTCCCTATGTTACTGAGGCTAATCTCTAACTCCTGAGCTTAAGTGATCCTCCCACCTCAATCTACCAATGAGCTGGGATCACAGGCATGAGCCACTGTGCCCAGCCAGGGGTAATTATTTTAAAGTGAAACTACCTGTACTCCACTCCGACTGCTGTTTAGGAAAGTATGTTTTCTTTAGATTATTGTATTCAAAACAATTTAAATCTCTTCCACCTAAATTCTATTAGGGATTTGAGAGTATTTCAGGGGCTAGAGGAATGACAGAGAAATGAATTATATATAATACTATCATCTTGTGCTAATTGACCTGAAAAGAGACCAAACTTTTGGAGAGATGGAGGGAGTGGCTGAGGATTTTAGAGCTGAAGGAAGAGTTGCAAAAGAACTCAGTGGGAATGAGCTGATTGAAATGGGAGGTTCTAAGTGAATCCACTCTGAGGAGAAGGGTTGGAGATCCAGAACTCTGAAAATCCAGAAGACAGACTATTTGGAAAACGCCAGTGGGGTCGGACCTGGGGACAAAACTGCCTCTGAGAACTGTCAATTTGGAATGGCAGCCAGAAGAAAAGTACTCGTTTTTTAGAGCTCAAGGCTTAAGGGAGAGCACAGGCGTGTGTATTCATGCAGAAAGGCTGTATCTTAGGAGGTTGTAGGTGAAGCTGGCTGATAAGGCCCTAGAAGAGGTTGCATTATGCATTAGTCTCTCTATTTTCCCCATGCAGAGTCCCTGGGATACAGGAGTTTTGTTTTGTTTCGTTTGAGATGTTGTCTCACTCTGTCACCCAGGCTGGAGTGCAGTGGCCCTATCTCGGCTCACTGTAACCTTTGCCTCCCAAGTTCAAGCAA